CTCCGTGTGCGCTCGAATTTGCCGGTAACGGCTGAGCTGCTCAGTGCGTCTTCTATTGACGATGTGAGGCCCGGTGAAAAGTTTCAAGTGCGCTTGGCCACTGACGAGGAGAAGACACTGACCGAAGTAGACTACGCTTCGCACATTAACCGTGCGCTTCCAGCCGATATTCGGGTGTACTCGGTAGCGTCCTGCCGTCCAGAGTTCAGTGCTCGATTCGACTGCAAGGCCCGCATGTACCGCTATTTCTTCGTGCGACGCGACCTAGACATCGAGAAGATGCGAACTGCTGCGCAATATCTCGTTGGCAAGCACGATTTCCGCAATTTTTGCCGTATCGACCCCAACTGTCATGTGTATGAGCGTAATGTGCGCTCGTTCGAGATCGTGGAGTGTCCAGGCCAACGTGCCGATGACCCAAGTCAACAAATGTACCGATGTGAGGTATTCGGCCGTGCATTCCTGTGGCATCAGGTGCGCTGTATGGTAGAAGTGTTGTTCTTGGTCGGCTCTGGTCGAGAGGAGCCTAGCATCATTCCTAAGCTGCTGGACATTGATCAAACACCACGTAAGCCGCAGTACGACATGGCATCGGACTTGCCACTTGTGCTACACGACTGCTATTTTGCAGACCCGGACGATGCGGAGGCATCTGGCCCACGCTTCGAATACACGCCGCTTGCGTTGCTGCAGGTGCATGCTCAGCTCACGGAGATGTGGGAGCAACGTAGCGTGCAGGCGGCGATGTTGCGTAGCCACCTTAATGCACTCGAGGCATTCCAGGTTGATGCAAACCTCGTGGTGAAGGATTTGGATCATTACGCGCCCAAACTGGAGCAATTGATGCGGGAGCGCAATCTATTGACCGATGAAGGTGGCGTGGTTAGTTGGAAAGAAGTGAGTCCGTTGCTTCCGTTGTCCAAGAAGCGGAAGACGTTGCCACTGGCGAAGCGCGATACGGGCCACTCTGTCGATGAGCGTAAACGCAAAGCGCAGGAACGCAAGCGTCGACGTGAGGAAGAAGAGGAGACTGCGACGCAGGTGGCCAAGGAGGTCAAGACGGAGAGCAGGGACCACGCAAGCTCACACGAGCTGGCTCCCGCGGCGTCATCTTGATCTGTTGATAGAGTGCAATCACCCAAGGTATCGAGTACATGTTGCCCTGTTGAACTTTGATGTGAATGTTTGCCAAACCTACACTTCTGAACTGTATTGAAGTGATCTCAAAAACTTTCCATCCCTATAGTCGAGCGGCTCTGATAATTTGCAACACAAAACGTTTTGACAGTTTTTCATTCCGTATGACAAAGCGGCTCTTTATAATTTGCGAACACGCAACACACAACGTCTTGACAATGGCTACACTTTGGCGCACGCTGACCAGTCAATCTCCGTAGCTGCAGACGAAGCGATCTTCGGCGGTCTCCGTTCAGCAGAACTTGGCGTTGCTTCATCTGCCTGAATGTCTGCCTCGATGTGAGCTCCGCCAGAAGTTTTGTGCAGCAACTCATTTTGCTGCAAAAAACTGAAAAAAAAAAAAAAATCGAAGGTGTCAAACATTTTTTTTAGTAAATACTGCATGGCCAAGGCGACCTAGATAAACTAACTATTGGTACACGGGGTTACGACTCCGCTTGCAGCAGCGTTGCCATTTTCTATGATACATTTGTAGGCCGCGCTTGATTTGATAGATGAATGGAATACTGGTTTCACACCGAGCCCACAGTGGCAGCAGCCGCCCGCTTCTTCTGAGCCTCGGCCGCCTGAGCCGCCTCGATGGGCGTCACAGGCACGACCTCCTGCTCGTCCTGGTTGAAGCACACAATGATAGCGCTGACATTGTCGGTGGATCCGAGTGCGATGGCGTGGCTCACGAGCTCTTCGGTTGCGTGCTGCACGTCGCCATGCAGTCCCAGTTTGGCACGCACGAAGTTCACTACGTCCTGAGGTGCCATGACGTCGTAGAGGCCGTCGCAGCCGAGCACCATGAACTCGTCCTGGCTCTTGATCTCGTGGACCACGAGGTCGGGCGTGGCGCAAACCAGGTCACCGTTGAATCTGTTCTTGAATTCTCCTCGTCCGGTCTTAAAGTCGATGTCTCCGAACGCCCTGGATACTCCCAGCATCCCGTAGATGCGGCCCTTGGAGATCTGTCCTTTGGCTTTAAGGATCCGATCCCGTTCACTGGAGAGATCAGGAGTGTGGGCGATGCACAGATCCTTGGCCTGGCCGTTCGTGGACAATACGATCTGCGAGTCCCCTACACTGGACACCAGAGCCGTGGTGCCGCGGATCACTACCGATACTGCAGTGGATCCGCTGGGCAATTGCTGCTTGAAAATTTCTTCATCTGTAGCGGCGTAAGCTGTCCGGACAGCATCGCTCAATTCAATGTCAGCCGGCGGCAAACTCCGTACAGATTCCGGCTCGTTGGTGGGCTTTTGGAGGTGACTGAACACGTTTTCGTGCAGCTTTTCGGCCAGATATTCGGCCACTTCGGGTCCTCCGTGACCGTCGTACAGTCCGAAGAAGGCTACGAGGTCGTCGTCCACTTTCCGTGATGTGGTGGCTTGTCTGTCCTCGTTGTTTTTGCGAATGCCCGTGTCGGAATAGGTGCCGTAACTCACGCGGAGTTGCGGGAAGTACTGGCCTGCTGGTCGGTGCAGTACCAGTGTGCGCTCGGTGTCTGAGGCAGTAGTGGCAGTGGAGAAGACGCTGCCACTCGGACTGGCAGGTGAGCAGTTGCTGGCAGACGGAGACGCGACGGCCTCGAGTGCCATGCCACGCTCGCCAAAGATGCTGAAGACGTCGCGGTGCGAGTCGCTGGTGGGCGGTCGATGCGCGCCCACGCCGCTCTCATCGCGGGCCTGTTGCTTGGAGGCGGCTTGCAGGAAGATCTGGCTGAGGCTGGGGCGCTGCTCGTGCTCGCTGGAGCTGTTGGGCAGGACGTCCTTAGACGTCTGACAGCCCATCGAAAGCTTGGGAAAGCGGATGATTGCTGCTGTCGGTGACGAAACTCGGCGAGTTCCGTTCCAAGAGGTGTCTGCAGAAATGGGAAGTGGGGGAGCGAGCGGTTAGTCAGGCATGCAAACAAGTAGGCGCGGGGGGTGTTGAAATGGAAAGAAAAAAAA